GATATATTGAGAGCGGCGAAACGACGGGGAGAGGGAGCCGATGGCCATGGCAAAAAATAGCTCGGCGGACGCTCGGCGGACGCTCGGCGGACGTTCGGATCTATTGGTTTCGCTGAACAGTCAATGTCACCTCCAGCGCAGCGACAATCCGCTCAACTATTCGAGCCCCGATGTCCGGCTAATCAAGCTGCAGCTCATCGATAAGCTACCTGCGCTAATGTTTCATCGAGCCCGACAGCACTGTCTGCTTTTCGCCCAGTTTCTTTTCCGCGCTGCTTCTCAAAGCGCTGCGCCCGTCAGCTAAACAAAGCGAAACGTACAGTTGCATTCTGCGAGCTTCCAGTCTGCCATTGTTATTTCAAAAAGTCAGCTCAAAGGCCGTGAAACTCCATGATGGAATTGCAAAAATCGTCGAGCTCGTTGAAACGAGAAGCTTGTCCAGTTAAATCAGTTGAAATTGCTGATGGCTCGCGCATATCGGTTGTTCTGTCTGACGATAAGACCTTAGCGAGTCAACGAATCACAGGGTAGCCGTGGTTGAGCGCATGTTTTATCGAAATAATTCGTCCACAAAGTCGGCTTATGTATGGAGCGTTGGAGAGCAGGACAAACGAAGATGAGCAAACGCTGAAACGGTTGTGACACTGCGAACGCAGGTGTGAGTGATGAAAATTACAGCGGAAGGCTGGTGGCAGCGCATCCTAGTGGCGCGACAATTTTAAAATCACGTCTGCACCGAGGACGCCAATGCACACACCCACAGAATTATAATGAATTATGAGTGCACGCAAGTTCACTTGGCAAATGAGCTCCCAAATTGCGTTTGCATTTGAGAGGACCATTTGACAGAGACTCCCTCCTCCCCTCCTCTCTCTCTCTCTCTCTCTTTCTCTCTACACCTTTCCTCTTGTCTCGGCTACCCGCAGCTACGTCATGCCGGGTTCGACCTATCCTAGTTAAACTTGTATCTACATTGTTTACTTTTCAAGGATCGTCGCTCGCTGTAAACACTAAAAAGCCCGACAGGCAAATTTGCAGATTTCATTTACAAGCCGACATTTGAATATGTGAAAACGATGGACCTCAAATGGACAAACGAGTTGCGCCTGCCTCGGAAGAAACATCTTGTCCGATACACGTCTACGAGTGCATTAGAAGAGACAATCAAGGGATTACGACATGAATATTAAAATGCGTTTGCCGAAGAATAAAAATGAGCTCTCGCGGCTAGCAACTTTTGTAGTTGAGGTGGATTCTCGGTGCGTCTTAGTCGGCTCAGGACCAAACTGAATATTCAAGTGGGACTTGTGAGCGTAGCAAAAGCTTGACACTGGCGTCTCTTCAGATGTGACCGCGTTATTCCACCTATATACGTGGATTTGGCTGTTGCCGTTCGCGCTCCAATCAAGCTGCCATATTTTGAGTGCGTTGATGAATAACAGGCGAGTGTTATAGCGTTGAGCGTGGCGCCCGATAAACCTCGTTCTCTCGCTCTTTCGCTCGGTGGCGAATGATAAAATACATTTGCCGACAAGCGCAGTAAAATGGGCGAGTTTGTCGAGTGACAAACAGCGCGCTACGTGACTGCCATGCAGCGATAAACCGTAGCTTCTGCAAGCAACGATCTCATAATTTTCGACTAGTTTCTTTTAGACAATACCTAAACAAGGAGTTTCAATGGGAGTTTATCCGAATCCTCGAGAGGCTTTGATGCAAAACTTGACTAGAGCCCGAGTTTGGCACAATTGCGCCGCTAAACTATAGTTAAGAAGGCAAGTTTGCCAAGGATGCAGGAAAACAAATGGAGAGCCTCATTGAGGACTAATCGAAAAGTAAGCTTAGGCGAGGCGCGGACGTTGCATAAGCTTGGCGAGAGCGCTTTCACTCGCGGTCGGATCGTCGCAGGGGAAACAGCTGCTAGCGACAGATTGCCTCGAACAAAGACGCCTCCTGTTCAGCTCCGGAGATTCGCATTTTTGGCGCGTGTCGCGTGTGCGGCCCGCGTCTGCGCGGGCACGCGAGGCGCCTCCGCGAGTGGACGCGCAGACACGGAGCAGCGACGCTCGTCGACAGGCGCGCGAGCCCCTCAAGCCCGTCGGCGGCATTGATTTTCAAAGCGCTGCGGGCGCACTCGACGGATTATTCCCGACGCGCAAACAACGCTCTGTCTGTCTGGCCCGTTGTTCCCGATACAAGCTTGGATGACGCCCGCAAAGCTTCCGATCGATAGTCGCGCGCGGCACGAGAGAAGCGCACGGCCCAGCGGGGCTCGGCTGCCGGCCTGGCGAACGACACAGCCCTTGTGGCCCTTCGCTCTGCCAAACGACATCCAGTCTCCGCAGGCTGTCCGCCTAGCTCACCTGTTACTGCGCTCGCCAGGCTCCTTCCAAATATCGCCAGCTCCTCCGTCGCTTCTAAAGGTCTTGCAAGTCGTTGGGCAAGAACGATGCCAAAAACATAAAACAGGGTTCAACGAATCATTGAGACCAGCGGCGAATCGACTGCCTAAGGTGAATTCTCCTTGCGATTGCTGGCGCGCAACGTCAGTAGTGGTCGGGTTTGCTCGTTTCAAATCGATTATCCGTTCCGTCGCTCGGCAGCAAAGGTAGCCCCACAGCGCAGATAATGCTTGCCCAAATAATCATTAAGTCGACGAGGCCGCGCGTGCAGCGTGAAATAGAGCCGCTTTTCATCGCAAATCACTCGCAGACCGTAACATTAGCTCGCACCGCTGTCAATTAAGTCAGTCGCGCGACTCGACCAATGGCCTAGCGACGACGTTCCCTTCAATTATTCGTTTGCGCTCTCGATGGCCATTCGACTACATCGAACGCGAGCAATTACCAGTCCGAATGCGATTATAATTCTTTTTTTCCATGGCCTCTATCTCCTTTCTCGTTAACAGCAGCTTACGGGACGCCTCTCTGTGGATCGACCACGCGCTGATACGGGTTCCGAAAATACCACTTTGCCCGCGTTACTTCCTGCTAGTTCAGCTCCGAACACTTTTTTTCGTTATTTCAAGAGCGTCGATTCATTTTCATTTTACCACGGCAATCAACTTGAAACCCATTTACCCATCTACCCGCCTACCTATCTACTCGAATATCAGTGCGGATTAAATAATATCCCAGGAAGGCTGACAATAAACGAACGGTTGATGTGTTTCGAATATCGAAAGAAAACACTACGAATAGTTTGCTTTTAAAAACCGCAAAACATTTTGGAGTGCAAATATGAATTGCCAACCGCAATAATTAACTTAATTTTCACGAAGTACCTGAAATAAAAAAATCTAGAGAATCTGTGAAAACTTGTCTTTCTAGGCGCGGCGTGGAGACCGCAGGAAACTCTGTAATAGCTCTGGCTTAACGAGGCCGGCTAGCGCTACTGACGACGAAATTATTATAGGAAGAGTGATTTCCGCGGCGAGCCGTAAGGGAAGGATTTACTTGCCGCTTCAAACCCTCGCTCTAATAGTTCAACCTACATCAATTAATACCGTTCTTAGGTGCCACGGCATGTACAATTTTATTTTTGTATAATTTCATTCAATATATATAAAATGACACTCGACTGAATTTTTCGGATTTATAATTTACTTTGCCCTGTCTCTGCCGGGAATGCCACGAAAAACTGTAAAACGGCGTGCTACAAACGTCGTCAAAAGGTGTATGCAAAAAGCTGCTTCGTATGTCGACGAAAGAGTAAATACCTTCATTCAATTTTTTTAAACAAACACTACTCGACGGAGGAAATCCTCTGTAAATAATAAAATTTATGTTTCGGAATAGTTGGCTATACGAGTGGATGTAGAGGTTGCGATTGTCGAGAAACGGACTTCCAAGTTATTTTTACGTAGCACGATAAACCGCCCTCCGGTGACAAATTCAATTTCCAAAGGCGAATTATCCTCGGAAGATAAATTACAAACAAAGTAGGAAGTATAGTTTGGAAGTACAATGAGCTTCGAATGGAGCCGGGCGTGTCCTAAGCAGCATTATGATTTCAAGGGGAGAAAGTTTGCTAAAAGCGCGCTGCATTTGTGTTCCACGAAATTATCTGCCAACCGATCTTCGGTTACCCAAACTAAAATCCAAACTGAATCCCGGCGTCCTTGTCGCGCGGGCGGTCGTTGAAACAGAGAAAAGGAAGAAGCCGGTAATCCAAGCTTCGTACGGATGGACGCGCACCGCAGCACCGCGGATGCGTTTGAGCTTAGAAGGCGTCGGCGGCGCTAATCTGTGAATCTATGGCCGGAGACCCGCGCCAAAAGAGACGCATCGACGAAGAATTTTGGGCCGCGGGCTGGCGGACACAAAAGGCCAGCGAGTCGCGCTAAACGGAATCCACTCTAATTAGGGGAGCCGCGCGCGCGCGCGCGCGCGAAAGGGCTGCTGGCTGCGAGGGCACGTCGAATACTACAGAGAACGGGCCGAAGTCAAAAGTCGCAAGATTAAACGCGACGGTTCTTTTGACGCTGCCGCCTTTGTCGAGCCATTGTTCATCTTTCTCTGACCGCAAAAACACGCTCTCCTCGCGTAATCCCGGCAAAGTTCACGCACCGCACCGTCGTCTTTGTCTTCTCCATTCGCAGCTAATTAGCGTCATTTGTCTTACTCGGCCCCATTAACGCCTGTCGGTAGCGGCGTTAATGGCTCCCCTTCTTCCTCCTCGTCTTTCCCCCCCTGTGCCGGGCTTTCCTAGTCGAGACTGCAAGCGCGACGCCATGTTGGAGAATGGAAAAACTGGCTGCTCCCCGCTGCAAGATGCACGCCCCCCGTCTTCACGTACATAAAGCGCTTGCGCCGACGATAGAGAGATGTTCGTCTTGACCATTGTTCCCTTGAAATACGCTCACGACAAGCGCACGGAGAACGAACCGAGCTACAGCTTCTTCTGCGTGGCATTGCTGTCCAAAATAATGGAGAAATGCAGGGGCGCGCGCGCTTCATTTTTCACTTGGTCCCCGACTCGGTCGGTCGGTCGCTCACCCCGCCCGCCTCTGTGCATTCTAATTCCTAGCTCTCCTTCCCTCTTTGTCTTTGCAGCTGGCTACGAAATTCGTCTGGCCGGTAGCGACGTCGCGCGCAACGAGCATATTTCGCTGGGCTCCGTGTTGCTTGCGCCAGCCTCGTCTATCCGGGCCGCGGACCGGCCGATCCGATGCGCTCTCGCCGATGGAACGATCGATTCAGCGGGCCGTCTATTCTCGGATTAAAGTACTGGTCTCGAGCGCGGGCCCGCGCGCTTCGAAGCGGGCCGTGGGCGCTCTAGTCGCGGGCGAATACGAACTCGTTGTAGTGGTTCCAGCGGTTCTCCTCGAGGTCGACGCCGGGCTTGAGCTCGGCGGTGGCGCCGCCGGCCGTGCCGCTGCCGCAGCTGGCCAGCAGCCGGAAGCCCTGCTCCTGCAGCATGTCGAAGGCTTGCTCGATGAAGGTGTGCTTGAGGAAGAAGCGCGAGGTGTAGCGGTCGCTCACGCCGTGGTCGGGGTCGCGGCTCTCGTTCAGCGTCTCGCCGAACACGTCCCGGCAGAGCGCCACGCGGCCGCACACCAGGATGCGCGACAGCTTGCGAAACTGCACGTCGGCCAGGCCCTCGCGGCCGAAGGCGAAGCTGCCGCGGTAGCCCACCGTGATGAAGCCCCGCTTCTGGCCCTGCAACAAACCGGCCGCCCCGTTAGTCGGCCTCGTCGCCTTGTCACGCGCAAGCGCGGCTGTCCCTGCTCCTCGCCCCTCGCCCTTCGCCTCTCGCCATCGAGCCACCATTGTTCCTGCCCCGAAGCCGACGCTGCGCTTTCTTTCGCTCTTTACTTTTCTCTGCCAAACGGACTTGTTGGACTTGCGAACGGTAGTTCGACGCAGCCGGTAGACCAAAGCGAACGACGGCAGTGAAATGCGCGGCATTCGGTCAAACGGAGCGGATGGCCCGCGGAAACAACTTTGCGATCCGGAGAGCTCGTTACCCACGCGCTCGGCTCTGTCCCGCCAGTTACCGCATATTCAAGCATAGTAGTCACGGACGAGCAAAGCGCTAGTCGTCTGCTTGTACGATGCCATAAACTCACACGGAACGCTGACTCGCTAATTGAGATTTATCGCGTCGACAGAGCAGCCAGGCTCGTTAAAAATATCCAGATTCGATTATTAATCGTGCGACGGTTGAAAGCTCTATATCCGTCCTAGGGCCTTAAGCATTTTACAGCCTGGCGTATCGTGGCTGTTGTTCTGTACACACGTACGCAGCCTTTCTCGCTGATACACATGAGCGCTCGCTTGAACAATTTAACACAGAAAAATTTTAACGCGACAAACGAAACAGACGCGCGAAACTTTTGATAAGTTAAGCAACCGTCGTCGAAGATGATGGATGCGTTGGAAGGCGAGGTAGGCCGCGGCTATGAGAGCTGCGAGGCACGTAAACAGATGATAACGGGGCGAACGTAGGAGATCGGAAGAGGGAGCGAGCAGTTGGCCTGGCCGCCAGTAAGACAGATAGCTATCTGATATCTGGCGTCGCTTCCGACTCTGGCACAGCATCCCTACTACTCGCTCGACGACTGGCACTCTCCTCTCCTCCTCGCATCGGCCTCGAACCTTATTTCCACCGGACCACCGACAGAGACAGGCGCAGCCAGCTACCGATGCTTCGCGCGCCCCTCCAAACTTGTTTTACTCGCGACTCCGTTTCAGCGCCCTACACCCGCTGCCACCGACGTTCCACTTTTCTTCCTTTCCCTTTCACTTGCCTTTCAATCTAGTCGGCTTACGCGCCAGCTCACGCGCTCGTATTGTTGTTCCCTCTGCAAGACAGCCACACGACTCCAATTTGCCGTTGACTGCTGGAAGCGATTCGCGAGCGCAGCCGATATCGCCGTAGAAGAACGACCTCCAGAGCCCAATAAACCGCGTCTGCTCTAAGATCACTCGCTAATAAGCAATCGATAAATCGACCGATACGGGCTGCGCGACGATAATCAATAGATCAGCTAAGCGCAGGTGCAATTTAGCGAGGCTTTCATCCGCGAGAACAGCACGGTCGATAAGGTATTCAATGTGGACGGGAAAAATTGTTGGGACAGGACGGCTCATTGGCGATCGCGCGCGGACAGGGTGAGCTAGCGTCTGCTTTGCTCCCGCGCCTCGGACCTGCTCTGCCCGACGAGAAACCAATGCTTCTCGCGCGTCGATCCTTCGAGCGGCGAAAGGCCTTTCGCACTGGACGTCTTGGCAGTCCGAGTGCAAGTAGGGCTGATTCTTCGACAGACGCGAAAATCGTTAGTAAGAAATTAGAATGGAAATAATTTCAAGTGGGCAGCAGCAGAGAAGCTCCCGTAGTACGACTTTCGCGTCTATTGGAGAATGAGCGTAAGAGTAGCGGCGAGCGTACCGTGGACATGACGGAGACGCGCTCCGGCGGCGAGTCCTGGATGGCCCTCTGGAGGTTGGCCAGTCCGTAGAAGTTGGCCTCCTGCCTGAGCCGCTCGCGCTCGCGGAAGCCCTCCGGTAGCACGAGGGCCTGGTTGCGCAGGAAATCGAGCACGTAGCGGAAGAGCACGCCGTCGCGGTCCAGGAAGTACTTGCCCTTGGCGTCGCGCTCGAGGCTCAGCTTGTCCCGGAACAGGCCGGCCAGGTGCGAGTCGGCCTCGCGCGTCAACGTGCTCAGACCCGTCGTGTAGAACACGCCGCCCACGTTCAGCTCGACTACGCCGCCGCAGCCCGCTGCGCCCTCGTCGGCCTGAGCCTGGTCGGGCATCTCCGGGCCTCGGTCGGCTGCTCCTGCTCGGGGCTAGCGGCTTCCAGCTCCGCCGACCTGCAACCAAGCCAAGCCCATCACCAGCGACTCGTCGACTCGCTTCTCCGTCTCCCGGCTTGCGCTGGCTGACGAGCCGACGAACCCATCAGCGCGTTTCCACTTCGACTCCTTTCCCCGAAAACCCCCTGCGAACGGCCGCCCGCGGCTTTCGCTCTTTCATCTTTGACCATCCTCAATTAGCCTCGTAATCAGCTATATTTCGCAGCTACCGCTCACAGCAAATGGCTACTAACGGAACTTTCCCCAAATTCACCCTTAATGCCATGCGAAATACCGTCGATAACAATTTTTTCCCTCGAGTCTAACACGTTTCAATCAACGTACTTTGTTGAGTCGATCTCGATCAAGACTCCATCTCAAGACTCTCTTTCTCTGCATTCTCTATTTTTTCTATTCACTGTGATAGATCTATTAGAGATCTATAATTTTGATACGTACAATCGGGGATGATGATTAATCGACATTAATAATTTCAAATAATATCAACTTTGGCTAGCTAGAATTTCTAATCACCAGAATCCGTTATAATGCCTTATTTATTATTTTTGCAAAAAAATATCTCCACAGTCAAGTCACGTTAACGTGGAAAACGATAACGTAATCGATAGGAGCGATTGCGAAGAAAGAGCAGGCTGAGGTTCGATTAGAACGGATGATATCATAGAAATGGAAGAGAATGATTAGGAGTTTAAATCAGTTATAGTTTCGGAGCTCGACATAATTGCTATTAAAACGATGAAAAGAAATATTAAAGTAATGCGATGAGTGACTCCAAACATCAAATATGTAAGAACGCTTATAAATTAAATATTAAAATTTAAGTGCTAATATCAAAAAATATTTCGAAACATGTAAATTTTAAATTCAAATGTGAAACGACCTCGAGCTGCTTTCTTAAGACTATTTTTATACCCTCTTCTGTCTCATAAAATGTAAAATATACAAGAACAGTATAGGATCAAATTCAATAAATGTGCCGCAGAAGAGCTTTGTCGGATAATAATCATTACATTTGCTAAGATTATGCATGTATGACGTGCGTATGATACATCACGAATCAAAATTTTATGATAATCTAGTGCTCTAAATATACGCGCATTAGGAGAAAGTGTTTTGTTCTTGATTTTGAAAAAAAAGTGGATGGTATGGTAACGTCAATTGAAAATGGTTTTACAAAATAGTTGAAAATATGTAAAAAATTAATGTCGTAGATATGATAAATATTATCTATGAAAAATTAAGTATTAATGGTATTGGCTTAGTTGTATAAAATTATGAGACAAGCACATAAATATTTATATCGTGTTGTTGAATCCAATAATTCGATCAATTATGAATCCATACATAAAACGTGTAACGGCAAAATGTATTTCGTTAAAAGATTTAACGGAAAATAAGGAAAATTAAAGCTTTAATCCTTTACTCTTGTATTAATAAATTGAATTTGAAATAAATTTATGGTCTATTTCCCTGTTATTGCAAAAATGTGATACAATGTCCATATAAGAATAACATGTGACCTTCTTGCTCATATATTCAACGTTGTTTTTGAGAGTGTTAGATAAATACTAGATCGAGCATACTTGCAAATGAAGCAAGACTAATTTGAAAGTTCGTCTTTCAGAACGAAACCACTCTTAGTCAAACCAGTCGCAACATTTTCAAGATATACGCTAGCCAATTGAGTTTTTGGTTAAATTCCGTACCTCCTCCTTTTTTCAATTTAATAAAATTTATGTTAAAGTCTTAATGCTATTATCCAGCATTTTGAATCAGAACATGCTTTTTACTCATCACGATTTCAAAAAGATCTTGAGAAAACTATTTTTAATTGTAAGATTTCATTGAAATATCATCATTTAATTCTTTACACCGTGCCTATCTTTGAATAAACAGTATTTGAATAAACAATATAAGCAACTTTTGTTAGGATTTATTGAACTATTTTCCGAAATAAATAATAAAATGAACGAAAACATGATAAAAAATATATAATAATACTATCATGAGAAATTAAGTAATGAAAAAGTTTTCTTGAAATTGTGCGTAGAATAAAAAAAATTGTTAATGCCTATCCGGCAAACCATTCTAATATAAATAAATATATAAAAAAATGAAAAATTGTTGATATAATTTGATATAACTTGATAGTATGGTTTACATGAAGACAGTCAAACAATTGTCATTTTCTTTCGTTTGTTTGAAAAATCTAGTTACTTGTTTACTGGGTTTTACTGTTTTTCATTGACGTTTATTATTTCACTGGTGTTCAATACTTATTTTCTGAATATCATTGAGATGTTATTTGTATATTTTGCTTTAGTTTGCCAAATTAAATTTGATTTGAATCTCTATTATGCGTGATTTATGAAGCAATCACCCAACTTAATGAAAACACCACTGTATTATAGCAACTAGGCCGTCATGCCGCAGCAATAAACAAATCATGCGTAATCCACATATTGCAGTGTATCTTTATGTTCATGGGTCGTGTATCAAATATGAAAGCGGTGCACTTTTTGAAATATCTGGATATTTATGATTCCATTCGAAGAGGTATTTATGTATTTTTGACGATTTCAAATGAATACAGAAACGATCGATCCTGAAGGTACTGTTGTTTGAAATCCGGTACCTTATCATTCTGGATTGTGCGCACAAGTGAGTAAAATGTTGCATTCATAGCCAAACCACATATTATTGAAATAACAATACAGCAATAACAAATTCGTATTAATCATGCAGTGCCGACGCATGACTCGATATATATAATACTTGCAGCACAGCTGTTATACTCGTCGTAAAAGAATATCTAACGTCGTCTTGAGTATAGGAAATCGATAAAAATTACTCTACCATGCATTTTTCCAAATCTATTTGGTATGAATTGCGCGTAATACAAAAAATACCATTTTTACGTAACTATCGAGGTCAGTCCATTTTTAGAATGGCGAAATTCCAGTTGAGCGAAAGACAAAGGTTCATAAGAAAAATTCAACGTCTTCAATTACCAAGGTGGATCTTACTTGACCTGGGCGAATAAGTTTCTGAAGTGCAAGGCTATTACGTGCAACGCATTTGATTAGACTGTACAAAGGTAATAAAGCTAGTTTAATTAAGACTTTTGCCTTGCTTCGCTCTACTGTTTGCTGTGGGCATTTAATGTACGCGCACTGTTATTGCAAGGATAACCTAAGCTGATAATCGACTTGGTAAGTGGTGTCTACAGTCAGGATTAATTACCAGTTCAATAAGATAACGCTGGCAAAAGCAATAAGTGGAGCGAGAACGCGTTAATTTATAATTTCAAAGCAATAATTATTTATAGATTTACGATGGTGGAGGATTGATGCGATGCAAATTATGCAAGACTCGAATGAGAACTAGACAGAGGATTGAGCGGATGGAGGATGAATATAATAAGAGGAACGTTGATTGAAAATCAATAGGTGTTGGTGCGGCTGCCAGCTTGCTCGATTTCTTCGAATCTGATCTAATTGAAAGGACGCCGGAGCGATGACGTATTGGATGGGAGCCGAAGCCGCATTACGCGCTCGTTCGGGGAATAGCGCGAACCGAGACGGAGTCGATGGGATTTTCGCTCGTTAGGCTTGGCGGGAGGAGAGAATAACGATCTCGTCGGTTTGAGAAAAGTATTGATCCGTTACAATTAGAAAGCGAGACAAAGCGAAGAGAGCGTGCGGCTGCAGACGTCGCAGTCGAGCGGCAAACTGGTGCGAGTAGGCCACGGCTCCGAGGAGCGGGCGGATGCGCGGTCGGCGCGGCGGCCAGGTGCGAGCAACAGCTTGGAGAGGCGTGATGTCGCAGCGAAGGGAGAGGACAGAGGGCCGGCTCGGCGGCTCGGCGGCTGGCGGAGGCGCGCGGCGATGGCCGAGGGCGAGGGAGTCAACAAGTAAGTCGCCGGCGGGCGCCGCCAAGGTACCTGCAGAGTCGGGGCGAGGGCGTAACGCAGCGCCCGCGGCGGGCTCGCCTCGGCTGGCCGTGCTGGCGCTGGTCTTGCTGCCGAGGAGCTGCAGGCCTGGAAGCGGGCGGCGCGCGCCGGTGAGAGCCGCTGTTGCTGGCGGCGGCGGACGGCGGCGGGTCGATCGATGCCTCGGGAGCTGCGCGCACGGGCCGACAGCCACGGATAACTGTCGGCTGGCGGTGCTCGCCAGCCTCCGTCGACGTCGCACACGCGCATACGCGCACAGCAGCCCATCCGCCGCTCTCCGCCAGTCGGCCGGGGACACCAGAGCTGCCTGACCCGGCCGCTGCCGCCCGTCGAGTCGTTCTCTTGAGGCGCTCGCGGCTTCCTGTCCACGCCTTCGCACCGACTTATCAACACCAATCATTTTTCACGCACCACTTTCATTCAAGCAGCGCGCAAGCACATTACTCTTTGGTTTTCCAGTCAAAGCATTTTTATAAATGTTATTGGACGTTGGACATTGAAAGCTCATGCGAGATTAGCGTCATTCGCGTTCACAGCATTGAAATCACAGAAATTTTTCTCAAAAATTGGCTATTTTATTACTTTTCAGTTTTCATGTTACCAAGTCCTGCAGCTCAACGTTTCATGCATATTTTTTTCAAACCATCCCTATTTACAATCTGTCTACAAAAACGACAATAAGTAAATTTTATATAAGCAACGAGCGATAAATTTATACATGAAGGTATTTCTCCAGTGATGCCTACTTTTATCGTTACATATTTACATTATTTTTATTGAATTACAAGATAAACATAATAAATATTAAGTTTGTGCAATTGGTGTTTTATATTTTTGAATCTTGTACCGCTAGTGTTATATGGAACATTCCAACATATATGGAAAATTCCTCGCCAAACAATTCAGATATTTCGGTTGCGTACTTTCTGCTTGCAGCTTCTATTTCTTCTGTTGTCACCTTCATGTCTTTACTAATGATCTCATTCGTAATAAATTTTTGGAATCTTTTAATAATTTCTATGTTCAATTTTGTTCCCGTACCTCATAATTGCATTCCGTAAGTCCATATTGGTTTCATTAAGCATTTACATATTAATACTTTATTTTTACCTAGTAACATTTTCGTAACTATACGTTGAGTTACTTACGTTTGGTCTAAATGTGGTCTCGCCATGTTAATGTGCGATCTAAGTACATCCCTAGGTATTTGGCTTTGTCCTTTTGTGGTATTGGTTGAATTTGTATGTGAACTGGTCGGCAAGTTCTTTTCTTTAAGGTTACCTGTATTGATTTACTTTGTTAATTGTTATCCTCCATTTTTCGAACCAAAGTTGGGTCGTTTCTAGCTACTTTTGCACATTTATAGAGGCTTATGTTGTATTAGAATGTGAGGTTAAAATTACTGTGTTATTTGCATAAGTGGCGATACTTCTACCTTCCAC